ACCCAGCCGCATTTTTGCGCCTGTCCCAAGTCTGAAGCCTCTGGCCTTTGTTAGTTTTGTATATTCTTTTAAAAATTTTGGTTCATTTATATGTTTTGGAGTTTAGTGTGACGTCCATTTTCGCTGTACTAGTACACATTTTTGTTTAGGGGCCAGCTGAAGCCCGTCTACAAGTGCGAGCTTTTCTCGCTTTGTTTAAGACCAATTAGAGGCCTTGGGCTGTTTTCTGCTCTTTGGTCGGGTTGTTGTCTCTTTGACACATTTCCCGTTTCCGAGTTATGGGGTTTTATTCATTAAAAAAGGGGGATTTTCAAATTTTCGTAAAATAACTCAAAAACACATTCACAAATTTGCAAGAAACTTTGGTGAATTGTTTATATCTATTGACATGAGCTCCCTGTCGATTTTTATAAATTTCAGATTTTACGTTTACTAGTCGTGGGGTTTTATTCATTAAAAAAAGGGAATTTTCCAGTTTTCGGACAATAACTCAAAAATGCTTTCAGCAGTTTCCATGAAACTTTGGTAAATTGTTTATATCTATTGTCATAAGCTTCCTTTCGTTTTTTATAATATTTAGATTTTAAGTTTCCGAGTTATGGGATTTTATTCTAAAAAAAGGGTTGATTTTCCAGTTTTCCGACACTATCTTTAAAGTGCTTTGAGCAGTTTTCATTATATTTTGGTGACTGATTTATATCTATTAAGATAACTTCCTTTTAGTTTTTCCATGGAAGTATTATAAATTTCTGATATGACATTGAGAAGTTATTGCACTTTATTCTTTGAAAACGCGACGGGTGTATCATGCGCTCATGGCGCAGCTGTTTATTTTATATGTCCTCTTACATTTCAATTACTTTGTAATTCTACTATAGCTACAATACGAATGAAACAGATAACATGACCCTGTGGAAAATGGTCGAAGTAAACTTAAGTATCGAATAACATGCATATAGAAACATAAGTTGAATACCACAGTGAAGTGGTCTTTTAAAATATACATGTAAATCGATAAAATTCCTCAAACAATTTATGCAATGGTAATGAGGTTGCAACAACAGTACTAATGAAATAATTACTTTTAGTACTAATAAATACATTTTGTTAAAGCCAACATTTGATGGACTATAACGTTAAACCTGATTGAAGTTATCAAGGCACTAGACTAGTACAATGCAATTTCATTTACAAAAAGTATGAAGATAAGATAAGATAAGATTTATTTTATTAAAGTGTCACCATCAATTACAGTATTTATATATATATTCATAGTCATAAGAACCTAACATTTAGTAAAAGGATGCCAGCCGAAAACGACTTATGAGGCGCTATCATTAAATCAAACATCTAATACATACATAAAAAGACAGCTTTTTTAAATTTAAAAAGTATTTCGTTAATTAAACAAACAAAAAAATACATATATAATTTCTATTTACAACATGTTTTCGTCGGTTAAACATAGAATAAAGGGAACTAGCTTAATGATGAACCTTATTTTCATTACACATAAGATAACGGAGCTTTTCAATATCGCATAAATAATCAAAATCAACATTTAAAAAACAGGCTTTGGCATATAATTCATGTCTGATATCAGAGTAAAAGCAACAATTAAAAAGAAAGTGCTTCTCATCTTTAATTGGCCACTATCACAAAAAATACACAAACGGTCTTGTAGAAGTTCTGGTGGTCTAGCATATCGACCTGTTTCAACTTTAAGTTGTAACGAACCAGCTCTAAAAAGTGACAAAATATGTCGATGGCATATATTATTAACAAACTTACATAAGGCTCCGTACCAATACAAGTTTTAAACAATCTATAAAATCTTAATTTATTACTATTGACATTATTTTTATCATTCCATAACTCATGACACCAAGATTCTTTTTCAAAAGTTTGAATAGAATCCCATATATTACTCAAATTAATTTCATCTTCTACATTTTCAATCAAATTATATTTACGAGCTAACTGTAAAACTCTATAATCCCATGACGATTTTCTTCTGATCGCCTAGGTATGAACCTTTTTACATATATTACTGGTATTGTCACATTTAAGACGATTCCATAGTTTAAAAACTTATAAAGTCGGCGATAAAACACAGCCTTGTTTTACACCAAGAGCAACAGGAAAAAAGGATGTCATAAAGTTATTCACTCTGACTGCTCAATTGACATTATTGTATAAAGAAGAAATACGATTTAAAAAAAAGTTACCGCTAATACCAATATTTCTCAATTTGAATAGTAGACAATCTCTATTTACAGTATCAAATGCTTTCTTTGCGTCATCAAAACAAACAAATGTATCCTTTTTTTTTTGAAATTTTTCTGCTTTTGACAATATCATCTAATACATAAACATGATCTGTACAGTGTCTACCTTTTCGAAAACCGTCCTGTTCATCACATAAAATATCATTTTCATTGAGCCATTGATTTAAACGCTCATTCAAAATGTCAGCAAAAATTTTACATATATGAATATAATCCCTCAAAATCTATAAATTAATGTAAACATAAAGTTGTTTTTTACTAAATGAGTCTAAGCTAATAGAACATCATCCACACAGAAATGAAAAATTAATAAGTCATGTCGCAGATCCCGATTAATTTATTTTTTTGCATTACGATTACCTTGGGAAATTCCATTATCATGGTATAAAAGAGGGCAACGATTACGTGTTACCAAACTTTGATTGAGAATTCAAATATAATTCACGCAACTACTTCTTTTTAAGGTTTCGTTAAAACGTCAAGACAGAAAGGTATGCTATTTTTCAGGTAAAAAGTAAAATCACAAAAAACACCGAACTCAAAACGGAAAGTTCCTAATCAAATATGGCAAAATGAAAAGCTCAGTCACATCAAAAGAATGGATAACAACTGTCATATTCCTGACTTCGTACGGGCATTTCTTATGTAGAAAATGGTGGATTAAACCTTGTTTTATAGCTAGCTAAACCTCTAACTTGTATGACAGTCGTATACAATTCCATTATATTGACAATGATGTGTGAACAAAACAAACAGACATAATAGGTAAAAATGTCAAAATAGGGGTACAACAGTCAACATTGTGTTATAATCTTAATCACTATAAAAATAAACAAATATGTAACAAAGAAACACAAAAATATAGACAAAGCACATAAGCAGAAATGAAAGACAAGAATACAAAAATTTTACCTGATGACGGGATGTATAAGTACCGAGCCGCGTCAAATGAATATCACCAAAAATAGACTAAACAGTAAAAGTAATATTCAAAAGGACAATTAAAAGAATACTAAAACAAATGATCTTCAACCAGAGCAACTTCTTTAAAGAAATACTCTCAGCTCGTAAAAATATACTGTCAAACTTTATCGATATATACAATATTCAATTAAGTTTTTTTTTTCTAATCTGTTTTTAACTAAATTTGTGTCGTTTGGATGCTGTTTGATAGGCGAAATATCACACATCCTTTATAAATAATATCTCTTTCGTAATGTTGCTTATTTATTTATACTATAAACAACTATTGTTTTCTTTATTGAATTAAAAACGTCTTGTATATTTAAAACATAAAATATGAAATAGGAAGTATATCAATTTACAAAATACAGATGTTCATTTTCATTCTTGAAAATTGAATAAAATAATACATTATTACAGTTTTATGCATGTTTTTTTTTCTATTTAATACCATCATCAGTAAAATTATCATCGGAATGAAAATACTTTTAAATAAAATCTAATTGTTCACAGAATAATTGAAGGTCTTGCCACCAACATCATGTAAAATGGTGTACATGTACCTTCATACATATATGCACAATTTTTTAATTACAAAGATGTATTATTCGTATAAAAAAAGTAAAATCACAAAAATACCGAACTCCGAGGAAAATTCAAAACGGAAAGCCCCTAATCAAATATATTTTTGGAGAATAAGTTAAGTGTAAGCTATCATTTGATACTGGAAGTCACTTTTTTTTGAGACAGAAGAAGCGCATCATCTATTTTATTCAAAAGAATATAACAACAAGCTATATATTCTTGAATCTTAAAAGGCAATGTCAGAAGATAACTGATCTTGCACAGATTCAAAAATAATCTTATTAATCGATCTTTCTTACTTACGAGAGCCAACGCTTCGCGAATCATGAAATTTGATTGGTGTCCTGGGAGAGAGGTGACCAATCAGCAGTGAGCCCAATTTCATCGTGATAAGTAAACCCCGAGCTAATTCCGAATGATTAATTGACGGTTGTTCATGTTCTGTGCATTTAGGCGTTAATGTAGCAATAGAAGCCGGTCAGCTTAAAAAGCGATTGAATTATTCGGTTTATGTTTTTGTATGTACTTTTGTTAAAGTAAGAGAGTCATTTTTCTAAATCTGGTATAAAATCCTACTTCCGGTTCATAGGATAAATCATTTCATACTTATTCTAATATATATGGTTTCTATATACTTTTACATGAATAAAGAAAAACTTCCGGTCAATATTTTATTTTCAAAACATAAGCAAAAAATCATTTTGATTTATCATATGCCAGTATGAAGTTCCAGTAAGGTCAAAATCTAGAACGTTACCTTGACATTTGACCTTGATCTAAAATTCTAAGTCATAGATAATGGTTTCAAAAAACCTTAAGTTCATCACAGCACTTCGTCCTTATTTGTTTGAGGTTGTGACATGTCATAACCACCAATTTGACAAAACATATTTTGTAAATCATAACTCTTACTGTTTCCAAAAATTAGCAAAACAATCCAAACCTCAAAATGTATAAACGTCACCTTGACCATGATCTCAATTTCCTAACGACTAAGAACATCAAATCGAAAGACCCTAGGTCTCAATCACTTACCGTTAATATATTTTATTTATGTTAGATACAGAAATAAAGTGACTTCCAGTGTCAAATGATAGCTTACACTTAACTTATTCCCCAAACATATATTTGATTAGGGACTTTCCGTTTTGAATTTTCCTCGGAGTTTGGTATTTTATGATTTTACTTTGTATGTTAAAAAATAAAATAAAATGAGAGAAGGACGGATCTGTGATTCTCTAAAATATCTTTCGTGAATAATGCAGGGTCTGTTGTATTCCCAGATAAAAAAAAAAGCAGTGAACAGATGATTTTTTTTTTTTTTGCATTGGCAAAGTATCATTTGTTAGGAGTGACAAAAAGATTAGATAACATTCCTGAGAATAATTTGAATTGTGTTAAAAGAACGATTTGTTTTAACTAAAGAATGGAATTCGAAGAGTTTAAAAAGCAAAACGTTTCAATTTGTGATCAGTGTTTTTTACGAAAAAGAGACGGAAGACACCAAGAGGATATTCAAAACTGATAAGTCTAAGAAAACCGACAACTGAGATTGGAAACATGCATATCATCGATGGATGAACTCAGGTGCTCAGAAAAGGGTAAGGGGTTCGTGTACCATATGTGAAATCCGTCGTGTTGCTCATGCAGGTAAAATTCCGCTGATTAGCCTGATTTGGTATTATCACTATCAAACCGACAAATATCAATTCAATGATGACACATACACACTGACATTGATGTTCCGAAATTAAAAAAAAAGTAATTTCCAGAGATTAAGACTATTGAATTAATCAAAATATCAAAGTTAAAGGAACTACATTTCAATGATCAATTTAAGTAAAATATTGTCAATATATCCAGCGGAAAGCAACAAGAAGTTTTTCGTTGGTAGAAATAAAAGCAAAAACTGTTTCCGCTTTTGATATGTTGAGATCATCCAATGCTAACTGTATAATATCATTTTGTATCGTGTCTTATTTTTATTATCGTAACTATGAGTAAAACAATATAATTATACACATATTCGTTTTCTATTTAAAACAACAGTATTTTTAAATGTATGACATGGTATGAAAGATGCTACTTACTTTTATTCATAATACAGAAAATTCAATTATGTTGTTCTGTTTTATCATTATGTTGAATCTTTTCTAGACAATCTTTGTAAGTTTTTTCGTATTCCATAACGATATCTGGATTCCTTTTAACGTAATAAAAATAGTCTAAATCTATATCTTCCTTTTTTAGTGTCAGGTAGCTTCCGGCAGGCAATTCCCAGTAGTCACAGTTACTCACGATTTTAAAATGCGTCTTAGTTTTTGGTTCCTTAAGAGCATCCTTTACAAACGATTCTTTTAGTCCTCGTCGTCTTAGTTTTGAAGTATAAAATTTGTTTGATATATAGACAAAAACAAAATTTATTTTTTTAAGCACTGTTTCAGTCTCAATATCACTGTCATGCTCTTTCCTGTTGAAAACGTCCTCAAACAACTTGATATTAATACCACTGTATCCCATTTCTTTTGATAATGATGCTAGTTGAAACTTAAATGATTCCACTTCAGTCCTCTGATTGTTTTCCTCTATGTGTAGAATAACGATGTCTGTTAAACAGATAAAAATTATCACATTTTTTATATGTTTTCGGAATCTACATTTTTTTTCCCTTTTGAGAAGGAATAAACGTAAGGCATAAGGAAACATGTAAATACTATGGTTTAAAAAAAATAACAGATTTTCTGCTTGTAGGTATCTTTTCAAATCGTTATATAGAATATGTTTTATAGTAAATAGTTAATGGACTAATATGGAACGCCACAGCTGCTTTATGATAACTACCATCATAGAATGAAGCTAATTTTCAATGCTATTACGACATTTGACTAGACTACTCTGTCTATTTGATATATTACTTAGCTAAATTTATATACTATAAAGACGTTCTTATATAAAACGGAGCTATCTTATCACACTAATCTGTTATTTTACTTTGTCATGAAGACATTTTGTATACTATGCAAACATCTTAATATAAGGTGGAGCTACCTTTTCATACTGATTGGTCATTTAACTGTACTATTCTGTCATATAACTATCTTACGAATATAAAGCCGTATACTACAAAGACATCTCGTTATATGGAGCCACCTTTTCATTCTATCTTTTCAACTTACTATTCTATTCTGACAGATTACTTTATCATAATGATACATCTTTATACTATAAAGACTATAGATATAACAGTAATACTGACAAAGGAATATAAAAAGGCGCAAGTTCTTGTTTTTGTTTACGTAAAATGTAATGAATTCGAGCATGTGAAAAATTGCCTCCCCCCTTTTTATATGAAAAAGGTCCATGAAAAATCATCTTTTTATCAAAAATTATACAGACCATAAGACTATATTTAGAACAAGTGTGAAGTTTTTTTTCATAGTGATGCAATTCTTAATGTTGGATTTGATAATTTCTGTTATTCAGGTAATATGCAATAACTTTTGATAAAAAATGATACTGATATAATTTTTCATGTGGTAAAAGTTGTAATCTACACTTATGGACCTACAAATTTCTCAAAATGTTAATGCTCGTCTTTTGCACGAATTAAAAAATATGTATTCTCAATGATTTCATAAAGAAGTGTGAGCAAAACTCTGTGTTACTTGACCAAAAATCTTCAAAAACAAAATTAGGGGAATACCATTTACATTTATATGTAGTAACAATTTCATTATTGAATTTGTCATTTTTCCCCAAATCGGTGCAGCTCAGAAAACAACAAGGTCTCGTTGTTCAGCTTCTGTCTGTTTTATGTGTTAAATGCATTGCATTCAGTGTTGATTTTCTTGCTAGTTCAAGATCTTGTTTTTTAACGCTTTCATGTTTAAATATTTTAGTTTGAACTGCCAAATGGGTCAACTTTGTTCATGTACCTCACAAGCCAAGATTTTCAAGGACGAAGTGGTGAATTGGTATGAATCTTTTTTCAAGATAAATGTAACTTTTTTATTCCGTTATAACAACATTAATTCTTTTTTTATACGACCGTCAAGTTTCGACGGGACGTATTATGGTATACATATGTCTGTCCCTCCGTCTGTCCGTCGTAAACCTTTCGCACCGTATCTTGCCTTGCTTGATTAACTTCAAATTTTACACATTTGTTTTCTATGATAGTCTTACGGTCAATATGCTTTTTGGTTAAACCTAACTTTTCCTTCCAGAGTAAATCAATAAAACGATCTAAAACGGAATTTATTCAACAAAAAGGTATAATCTTTAATGATTTTAAAATTGAAAATTTGACGATTTTAAGACAATTAAGTTGTATGCAAAATTTTTACAAATCAGTGACATAGCCTTCCAACTTGATCTTAACATGACAATCCTTACATTAAATACTATTAATAACTTTAATTCACGTCAACTCATTGTACTCTTTTTCTATTATACTTCTTTTTACAAAGGTACTTTTAATTTTCAAATATATATATAAGATTTGCAGAAAATTTGGGACAAATAAGCTATTGTTTGTATCAATTTTTGTATTGGTTGATAGAAACAGTGTTATTTAATTGCAATTGCGTCATTATTTTCCGTTCGCTTTTGATTTTGCCATTTGATGAAGGACTTTCCTTTTTAAATTTCCTTGGCGTTTGGTATTTTTTTGTTTTACTTTTTTCATACTCACAACCTTTTACAAGCAAGGGGCTAAAGCGTTTATCAAGTTATACGGTTTCAAGAGATACATACAAAACTTTTGAAAAATTTGTTTATTGAAAGGAAAAGATCTTTGACTATGCAGAGTAAAATAATTTTTTATTAGCTAACTTAACATCTGAATAATGGCGACAGTAGCTTACTTATGTTCAATCTCGTCACTAGATTAAGAAGTAGAAAAACTGAAGGAATCTCATAAACTTCAAAAGGAACGAGATATGGTATATACTATATGCATGTCTCACGTACACATGCCAATCGATTCCACACTAAGAAATGTCACAATTAGGAATATTACACAATCGGTAAAATTAAAGGTTAGACGACTGTACTGGTCTCTCATCATAATCACTATCTTAATTTTAAGATCGCGCAAATATGTCGCTAGTTATTTGTGACACCGAGACAAAGTTTCGGTCAACCAATTGTTGATGGTTACCTTAAATCGATTAAATAGATTCGATTTCAATTATTCATCCCCTTACCTCTGTTTGAACAGTTTTTTTGTATAAGGAGAAACCCCTGTTTACGAAGTCTGCATACTGTGAATATGCACCAGCTTAACGTATTAAGAGATACATGTTAACGCCAAACATTGGAGCAAAAGGTATGTGACTGCCAAGAAAGTGGAAATTGACAATGGGAAAGTTGAAATTGTCGCGATTTTCATAGATTCTAGTTTGAAGTCGCCCATCTGTGTAAATATGGAGGAAAAGATCAAGATATGAAGTAGACCTTCTACTTTTTGAATTATTCGTAATATCAAATTCACTGGGACATATGAGTTGTAAGTACGCATTGAGTTGTAGATTATTGACTCACAGGAAATCATCAATATATCTTAAAATGAAATTATAAAACTTTGCATAATGCTTTTTCTTATTGTCTTTGAGAAGGTTATGTTTGAATTCTGCTTCATATTAGTACTTTTGTATGAATTTTTCTTCATTGCTTCATATCAATAAAAAAACAAAAATCGGCCAGGAGTGGTGTACATTAAATACCCAATAGATTATACTTTGTGCTGAAATATCAATCTACCAAACTCAACAAATATGATATCGATCAAAAGTTCATCATTTGTGTATTTGTTGTTGAAATCCGAGTGGTTATCCAAACAAAGTAATAATTTCATTATTTAAATCAAGGAATTTGTATATGTTTCCACGTTAAGTATAAAAAGCTCACTTTAATTAGACGATGTTGTTGATAGTTTAATTAAGCGTGGGGAATAGAAGTGTAAAGGATAGTCAATTTAATATTTTGATATTACTGCATTGTAAACATTGTATTGAAAATTGTGAATTAGTTCTTTGTACTTTTTTGAACTTTTAAGAATCCACTTTTGATTGAGACTGCTGACTAAATATACCTCATCAAAAGTTAATTTTTGAAATCCATCGTTTATTGTAGAAAGAATGGCGGTAGGAACTTTAGATCGCTGTAAACTCGAACATCATGACGACTGGCTTTTTATCGTTCTTTAAAAGGATTAGGGTAAAGTTTATGTGTTTAGCAAAACTAGAGATTCTAAAGAGTCTCTGTCGCTGACCTATGTCTGTATGCAGCTATAACATTGATGCTTTCAAACATCCTGGACTAGAATATAATTCATGACAAAAATATCTGTTTTTTTGTTGATTTTTTTTCTGTTTATAGTTTCACTGTATTCTCTAGGTTTTGCCCAAAATAAAAAAGGGTTTAAAAAAATCGTTATTTAAGAGCAATTACTTCTATAAGAGTCAACTAACGATTTCGGAAAAAAATGACTTATTTGTATATCCTATCTTGCTGATAATATTTTGCTACTTTAAGTGTCTATCTATCTATTATGGTTTTCAAGATAATAGTCAAAAGCACTCATATGTGTAAAAATCGTCATTAAAGAACGATAACTCCAATTTAGAGTCAAACGACGCATTCAGTAATAAGACTTGTATGAAGATTTTGTCTTACTGAGATTTTTGCTCATTTAAGCTTTTGAGTATCTATTATAGTTTTTTAAAGATAGACGAAAACTCAAAAAATGATCAAAATCGTCATTAAAGGGCAACAACTTCAACATGCAGTCGTTCGATGATTTTGGATTTGCGGTCTTATGCATAGAATTTGTATTGTTTATCATGTTTGCTTTTTAAAGTGTTTACCTATCTATTATAGTTTTAAAGAAATAAGGACAAAAAATGCAATTAGGAATCGTCAGACAACTTCGACTATTGAATTTTATTTTTAGATTTTGCTTTGCTGACAATTTTTGATTGTTGAGTTTCTTTCTATTTATCTACTAGAGTTTTTAAGGCTAAATGCAAGAACGCAAAAACATTGGTAATACCTCTAAGAAAGAGTCGTCAGTCGATTTTGACCCTGTAAACCTTTGTTGTTGATCTTGAATTGTTGATCATTTAAGTTATTCAAATTTCTCTACAGCTATTATAGTTTTCGAGATAATAGTAAAAAAAAAATAAAACATTTTTGTAAAATTCGTCACTTAAGGTAAATAACTCTTTAAAGAAGTAGTCAGAAAATTTTGAGGAAATAGACAATAGGTATATCTCAACATACTGTACATTTTTGATCATTTAAAGCGGTTTTCAAGATAATAGACACACATGCATTTTATCCCTTTGTTCCATTTTTAGCTATGACGGCCATGTTGGTTGGTAGGTTGACACATTTTTGTAAAAGTTAATGGACGATGGATACCAAGTGATGAGAAAAGCCTTTCTTGGGGCAGGTGAGCTAAAAAACAGAAGTTTATGTTGTCTTTTTTGGTGTTGATATGAAAAGGAGAGAAGGATGGATTTGGGATTTTCTAAACAATATTTTTGCTTTAAAAGAAATTATCTCTGCATCTCGCATTCCTAATTTTAATAGAGGAAAACTCTGATAGATTTAATTGATCAATCTTATTGAATTTCCTTACCATGCTACTATTCAGCATGTTGCAATTAGTTAAGTTGTCTTTTATTATTGCCTACTGAAATAAATTATGAAAATAATGAAAAAATATTTCAACGATTTTTTAGATGTTATAAATTCTTTATCTAACTGTTTAAGTTGAAAGTAATTAAATATTTACCTGCTTTTTCTGTCGAAGTCGATGATTCCGTTTCTGTTTTTATCCGATTGATTTCTATAACAATAAATAAAACTGTCGATTGAATTGAAATGCTATGATACAGCATACTGTTGTATGTTCTTGACAAACCATGCCAAATTTTTAGTTCTTAATAGAGATTTGCAATAGCTGTCAAAGTTGGAGTCTGAATAAGAATATGACTGCTTATTATACAGGTTAACAACAAGGGTAAACAGAAAATAATGCTGATACTAAAAAAAAGAACCTACCACAATTTATGTCTAGGAATAGAACTGTTGATACTTGAGATATAGTTTTATACCAGGCTTTGGGTGCAGTTTTTGTCGGATAAAAGAAGCTTTGTTTTATCAACGCTTACAAACATTTATATTGGAGGATTTCAGAATTTTTGTTTTAAAACGTCTACCGCTGACATTTTAAGGGGGGAAAAATCCATCTATATTTAGGTTAAACGGTTCTAATTGATGTGTGGTTATAGCATTGAATTTCGAAGAGATGTTATTGTTGTCCACGGTAGCAATGTTTTATTGTTATGAATTGAGGAAATACTATTCGTTCATAATCTTAGATATTTTCATTTTAATAATTGTCAAATTTGAATCCTTTTGGGGTCGTGAAATTTTTTTTCTAGCTGCAAACTGTTTAAAAAAATCAGTCAGAAAAAACGCATCATTGGCCACAGGAATCATTTTTAATATCCAATCAGATTGTATATGATTGACTAAGTTATGGAAGTCATTTAATAGATCATTAGATATGCCTTATGAAGTATCCTTGCAACTAAGAAACTTTAGATAAAAACAGAGGAACAAATGGCTAATTTTTATGAAGATTGACATGTTCACAAGATCTAAGCAATTGTTGCCAATCACAAAAAAAAAAGAAAAAAGTTCTGCTATGCCAGCCTTCTTGCAACGTTCAAAATTTAAAAGAATCGTTCAAGGAAAGAGGTAAAAAGTTAAGCAGCAAACGATGCAAACCACGAATTACACACAGCAATGATAAAGGTCGCCCGGTTGATAGATAATTTGAGCAAGGCGAATAAAACAGACAAAACGACAATTCAATACTTGATGAGACGGACATATAAATAATAAGGGAGGAAACATGTGAGGGAAACATTTCAGAATAAAATTAAGTGTTTTGTACAATTGTATGACTCTTTGGCAAGTTCTCCTTTCTGGACACTGAACAGAAATCAAAAGTATGTAAAATGCAATATGCACTTAGTAAAATGGGTTGGGGTTAAATGATTATGATTTAAAAGTTAATGTATCTCGTTTATTATTTAAATCGGGATAGACGATACCTTCCTTCCTCTGTCAATATGTTTTCACTTAGGGTAGAATTATAATCAAACCTTTATCATGTGACACCTTATTCCATGCAGAAGAACTCTCTGTACCAGGAACACCTAACAATAAAGTGACTTAAAATTGACTTAATAACGAGAAACTGAAAAAAAAAAATCATGTTATTGATGAACTAAATTTTATAAATTAAGGGATTTTTTCTGAGGCAATCGTATCATTAACTTAAATTGATAATTTGTTTTGTACCTTTTTGAATTCAAATAATAACATTATGAAATATAAGTATTGCTATTTTGAGATCGTCACATGTTTGTTGTAATTGTATCCGGTGAAATTCAACTTTAGGCTAACCTTATGTACGTCACGAATATCTGGTCGATATATGATGCATTTGTTATGGACAATTGACATGTTACCTTGGATTTATTTACAAGATATATTATGTTCAACAGGAGATACCGGTACTTGAGATATGTACCAGCGCCCATTTCAGATGCATTATGTTATAGAGAAAGTTCAAATAACTGTCCATTCCTGGGAAATAATGGAGCGGAGGCCCGGAGGGCCGACGCCCATTATTTCCCAGGAATGGACAGTTATTTGGACTTTCGCTAACTTAAAATACACCTTAAATATTAAGAACGAATTTTAGATCATAAAATTTAAAGAATTTTATTTCATTTTGTAATGGTTTTCTTTTCATTTTCCCCATGGTGTACCCAATAATCCACAGGCAAAATTTAAGATCAAGCTGACCATCAACTCACTTAACAAGTATTTATGAACAGTAGAATAATTACTATAAAACGATCTTGAATAAAGTTCATCCAGATTTGTGTTTTAAGTCATCGGATACGCATGTCTTTCTTGTGGTGGGATTGAAAGGATATTTATTTGTGTCTTTAAGTGTTATTTCGGGACAGAGAAAAAACTAATATTTATGCATATTATTATATGTTAATGGATTATGTGTTTTTCGTTTGATAAATCTTTGATGTAGAATCGTCTGAGAAAAATGACATGGTACAACTAGAATAAATTTCCAGGTATGTAACACTCTAGTATATGTTATTAAACTAATAAGGGTGTAGTCGATTTGAAGTCGTATCTGAAACAAAATATGATTCTATATTTCAAACCATTCTATTAGATCAAATTATTATCAGAAAGATTGCCTTTTGTATGTCTTTAAATTAAGTGGAAAACTACTTTTTGATTTCGTTTAAACATTTTAAGATTAGTGCTGTCATTTGCATAAGAATATAACTGTTATATTTGCTACTGGTCATATAACAACAGTGAAGGAATTAGATTGTGTTACGCGTTTCTGTTGAAAATTGAATAAAAAATCCCGCCCAATAGTTAACACAAGCCTTATTCAAATGTTATCCATACCCTTCAAATTCTGTTCAATAGTACCATATTCAAATTATAACAACGAAAAATCAAATAATATACCGAATACGCCGTTTTGAGCATTTTAGTTTCTTGAACTATTTATTTTATTTAACCACAATACTATTGTAGAAACTATCTGAGTAATATTTAGTTTAATTTTAGTGAAAACGATATCATATATTATACGATGGAATTACGACTCGCAAATAAAAGCTGTTTATCAATAATGAGATATTTGGTGTTCATTGTATTACTACGGGGTCATCCCAATTAAAAAAAAAATCTCCATTTAATATCAGCCGTTTAGTAAGTTTTCATCTTCATTCAATATCGCGTTACGTCCTTTCGAACTATTTACATGGGTGAACACTTTTTAAGAAAGTGCCAATAGAAATAGCCAAAGGGCAAAACGTCCGGATGAATGAAGATGGACAATAGAAAATAACTCTCCATTCCTGAAAAATAATGGAGAGTTTGAACAAAAGATTTAAGTCACAGGTGTATTTTAACTATGATTAGTACGACGTTAGTAAAATATAAGTTTTATCGAAATAGATTATAGCGAATAGATTTGAGTTGAATAGAAATTACTTATTCATCTAGAAAACCCGGTTTCATCACATTTTTTGGAGGAATTTATATTGCTTTATGTTTAGTTTTCTGTGTTTTGGTAACTATTTTTTTGGGGTGTTTTTTCTATGGTCAAAGTATTCTAAGTTTTGTATCGTTTTGTTCGTCTACGGTTAATGATTACCGCTTTTCTTTCCTCACATTTTTGTTGCAAACATCTTTAGAACGTGGCGTTATGGTTTTTTTTAATAGTGTTTGCTAAATTATTTACAAACTTCCTTCACTCGGGAGTATTAGGTGCTTTTTAAATTGTAGAGACACTGCTCATGGTTGAATTCCGTGTGTTGCCTTCTTGGTGTCGTTAGAGGTACCATAAAAGTATACCCAACATCACCTATACTGCACATCATTAACCACAAAAGTGCCCACGCTAAAATGTCTCGCATGCTTAACATGCATCGATTTTATGTTTAAAGTCTAAAAGACAAAGGTTTAACTACAAGTATCACATTAACGTAACATTTTTAAAGATACACGACAATGAGGTCAAGTTCAGATAAACTCTGTCAGACAGATACCTTACAATTATTCAAGTATTACACCAAATATATATAGTTGACCTATTGGCGAATTTGCGTATGGTAATTGAAAAACAGACCAAAACACACCATCTTAACATTGACCAATGCACTATAAAAATGAAGTCAAGGTCAGATGATACCTGCCAGACAAACATGTTCATCTTAAAATTATTATATACATTGAATAAAGCTGACCGATTGCTATTTGTGTTTGAAAAACAAACCAAACCAGAAAAACTTAACATAGACCAATATCAACCATAAAAATGAGGTTAAGGTTAGATGATACCAGATAAACCGACATGTACACCATATAATCATTCCATACATCAAATATAAGTACTTGAAAAACAGACCAAAAACACAAAAAACTTATCATTGACCAACGAACCATGAAAATGAGGTCAAGGTCAGATGATTCCTACCACACTGGCTGTTCCCGTTATAGTTGACCTACTGCTTATAGTATCTGGTACAATATCCATAATACGACTCAAATTGAGGAACACAAAAGTTGTGCGTAAACAAAAAATGTCTGTGTAATTATATTTGACATGTTTCAATTTTTAACAAGTGACTGAGCTTAAAGTCATATGAAACAAGTTTTTGAAATTTTAATGTTATCGAACCAATGCATGTATTTATACTAAACTAGTCTTGCATGCACGTTTTTTGTATTTATTTCACATGTATAACGTATTATCGACAAATAATATTTCATTCAGTGGTTGTTGATCGCAAGCTAATTAACTTTCGAGTTTGTTCCTGAAGATTGCCGGATCGTGACATTGATAAACAATAAAAACAGAGCACATGGAAAGCGTGAGGGATACGTAAATTGGAAGAGGCATGACATTTATTTTTATATTTTCTATGTGTTCTCGTATGTTAATTAAACGACTCCTTAACAGTTGTTAAATGATTTGTTTATTAAATTTATTAATTAAGAATCTGTTATTTCCATTTACCCTAAAAAGCACGTGTGTTTACATTCTTTCATCACGGTTTCCCCTCGCACTTGCGCTGTGCGGTGGCCGAAGTTATAACGAGAGGTCAGTAGTAAAGGTCACTGCATACGGGAAAATATCGACAAATTAGTGTCTGAGAAGTCAATAATTCAATACCGGTAGATTTATGAAGATTTTAATAATATTATGGATTCTTTTTTTATAATAACGTTCACTTCAAGTATATAAAACATGTTCAACTTTTTTTTTAAATTTGAAATTTCTTTTAACTTGAACCATTTGTGCAGATTTGGAGAGCAGAGGACCATAGAATAAATGTACAAAAACTATGGCGCTATTAGATGTATGCAAAGAACTAATTTAACCACATATGTGAAAATTTCTTAGCTTCGAAACAAACAACTATACATATCCAAATTAACGATATCAGCAGAGGAATTGAGGTAAAGGCTACCATCACAGCCTACCTGAAATGAATTGCGCATTTGTGTCCACCTGAAAAATGGCCCTAATCACATAACTTAAACCTCGATCACTGATCTATGAAATAAGGTCGTTGTCATGTGAACCCTGTTTGACGAATATTTTGACATTGCAAGGAACACATATACCAAACATAGTTATTCTATTACTCATAGTTAATTAGAAATTCACATGACAAAAAAAACTATAATTTTGTTCAACAGTCGCTGAAACATGTCAAGGACAATGGCCATATGACAGACATAAACTTAGTAACATAATTTATCTGTATACAAGGTATGAAGCATCCATGTCTTCTTCCTTCTGAAATATAAAAGTTTTTACAAATAGTTTTCGCCGCCGCCGCCAGATGGTCATCCCTATTTCTCGCATACTGCGACTTTCGTCGCACGCGAGACAAAAACTATTTAAATATCAAGTTTTATGAAGGTCTACTTGTCAGATCGTATAGCGCCTCTATAAATATACCTTTGTATCCTTTGTTCCTTTGTTTGTCGATTTCACGATTTGGCGGAGTCTCAATACCAAAACTTGATTGCCCAATGTACTTCCACTCATCTGTTTCTTTGTAAGTGTCAGTAAAAACTATCCAAGGAATGAAAAAACAAACTTTTAAGTATCAGATTAACAGATATGTTAAGTGAAGTCGAGAGTATCTTTTCAATAATTAATGAAGTTTAATAATCTAGTGTCTTCAACGATGTGAAATATTATATTTATTTCAAATTATGGAAAATTAAATTTGATATTTTAAAAAATAACAGCATGGTGTGAATACTTTGTTTTCTGCTTGGATAGATTGCTGTAATTAAACAGTGGATCAAATATTAAATGTTCAAGTACATTTATGTATCTTATATTTTCGTTTTAGTGCAAACAATTGTTTTTTTTTTAATTATTTAAAAGATACCGTCTTTCAGGTGATTCATATTTGAGAAGTAATACTATTTCATTTCATTATGCAAACTGAGAGGTGTTATTTCATGTCAATTTTGAGGTAGAGATTATATTTAATGTTTGCGGTCATAAATATGTCGATATTTTCCATTCAAATGAACAGATGAAACGTCTTATTTGCGGATTCAATGTATATTTCACATATAACACAATAGGGCTATGCAATTTGCAATTGATTATAATTGCTAACAAGATAGACGGCGGATAGCGAAAAAAAAAAAAAAAAACAAGTTTTGACAACACCTTTCAATCATAACGCAGTTATTTTACAATGGTGGAAAATAATTTAATGATGGCGAGAATCATTTGACGATAGTGGAAGATAAATTAACGATTTCGGAGCGCCATCATAAAACAGGGTATGGAGATCCCTAGAAAGGGCTATTTCTGTCGATCATCTTCATAAATTTCTTGGAACATTTTTAGTGTAAGGAGCACACTCCTGTTGATTTAGTCTGTACAGAGTCAGCATGCATGAGCGTAACGAATAAATTGAGATATACAAAAGCCATAAGATGGGCTCTTAATTGACTAGGATTGTCAGTTTTCCTATCGAAGGTCGGTGGTTTTCTCCCGGCACTCCGGCTTCCTCCACCAATAAAAACTAGCCGCCACGAAATAGCCCAAAAGCGGTGCTTAAAAGTGGCGTTAAAACACCAAAAATCAAATCAAATCATAAGATGGGCAGAAGGTATGTGACTACTGATAAAAAAGAAGTTAACGATTGGAAAGATGAAATAATTACGTTTATAGATTCTTGTATGAAGGCGAAAACCTGTATCAATATCGAGGAAAATATCAAGATACGCAGCAGACTTTCTTCTTTATAAGTATCCTTAATCTCAAGTTCATTTGGATATATGAGATGTCATTTCTAACTGAAATGTGGATAATGTTGTGGACTTTATCGATGTATCGGAAAAAAAATATTCAAATGATCTTGTAGATGGCTTTTTTGTTTTGTTTTTAAACAGATCTTCCTTGAATCCTGCTTTATATGATTATTACAACAATTAGTACCCATTGGAATACCGACTGTCTGTTGCATTATCAATCTATTAAACTCAACAATTATGTTGTCAGTAAAAAAATCCACCATTATGATGATATCTTCTTCGGTGTATTTATTGTTGGCAGCCTAGTGTTCTTAATGGACCCAAAAACAATCATTTTTCCTACAACTCTTTTTTCTTCGAAAAAAGCTCTATTGAATGAGACGATGGAGGCTAGCTGTCAATTGAGCAAGGATACTATGAGTGTAAAGTGTAGGAAAATGAAATCTTGTTATATGACATAAAAATTGTAAAGATTGGGATTGAATATTTTGGAGTAAATCTCTAAGAACTTTTTAGAATCATCATCTGATTGGCAACGTTAGTTCAATATCCTTCATAACAATATTTCTGATGGCCGTCTTCTACAATAGAAGTACTAGCCGAAAAATTTCTAGAAAGATGTAAGTCGAACTTTTGATGACCAAGCTATATGTCGTTCCTTCCTCACACGAATTTTTTAAAGTCTGAATATCCAGTATAAAGAGGAGAAATTTGAATCGTCCATTTTGACGGAGGGATTAAAGAATTTGAGATTATTTTGGAGAAACAGTAAGAGCCAGATGTACTTTGAAATTTTCGTTTAGAAATCAGTAGCCTTTCAGAAGAGGGACGAAAGATACTAGAGGGACAGTCAAACTCATAGATCGAAAACAAACTGACAACACCATGGCCAAAAATAAAAAGACAAACAGACAAATAATAGTACAGATGACACAACATAGAAAACTAAAGACTAAGCAACACGAACCCCACCAAAATATACAAGCAAGAGTGTACCATTAGAAATATTCCTTTGTTTGCTTCAGAAACATTTTCTTAATTCTAAGAAGTATATGTCAATCTTTTGATCAGTCACTGAGGGAATTCTAATTCAGATTGGTATTTTTTTGACATTGGGTGGATATTTTCTATTTTTTATAAATTTGTTGATTTAGAAATTTTAGAACTTGTGATGTAAAATTGTTCCTTCTATAACTTAGATTAGGGAACATAAATCAAAACCTGATGTTTTGGTCGATTACAAAAAGGCTTTTAAGCAAAGCTAAAAAAACTGAACAGGTAAGTTCGAAAAGACAATCATACAAAGGAAATATATTGCAGATCCAAAATAACAAGGTACGAAGTTTAATTAGTAACAACGACCAAAAACTAGGGCTTGCTTTGATTTTTTCCGATTGTGATGTTTAGGATTTAATTTTGATGCTTCTGTTATGGTTTCGGTTTGATCAACTGTTATGTCTTATCGTTTGCAGTCCAAATAATTATAAAATTGCCTTTCCGTACCATCATTGTCATTTAAAATTGTTTGGACGAATATTGTTAAAATAATTGTATAAAGTTCGAGATTGCATGTTAGTTACGTTTAATCATCTTCTATTCCTGGCTTTCTAATACATTAAGCCAACTGTTTGTGTCATACATGTGCATACGTATGTAATCAGTATCTTCCATAGATTTAATTTTCACAAGTAAAAATGGTGAAAAATAAATCCTTTTTTGTGTATTCATGGCAACAAAATATTGCAAAAAGGGGCATGAAAATGTCACATATTCCCCCAAAATTTGGTTTAAACTAGAATTTCAATACCTATGAGTGATACCTTTTCTGAAACTGTTGACATTAATCTACCAAATGATCAAATAAAAATTGGGTGTCTTTCGCCTCATTTTTTAGTAAAATTTAATCACAAAGTTCGTGCGACAAAAAGTTAGAAAAAATACAATGCAATAATTGCCGGACCGATGTCAGGTATGCACATGAAAATACGGACTGTCATACAGAAAACAGCACATAATACATACATTACACAATCTAAATGTTCCTTTAAACCCACTTTGAAGGCTATATTAATCTTCAGCTATCCAAAAATGAATTTTATTGCACACAAGCTCTCATATTTGAAAAATCCACAGGGACCAAAATGCGAAACTACGCACCAAACTGTGGAGTGCTACCTTAAAATGAATTGTTTTCCCCTGCTTCAACTTTTAGTACATTTGTCTGGTTTTTGCTAGCTGTAAAGATTAAAATGGTACCTTATTTTTTAAAATGAGTTCAGTAATAAAGATTTTATGAAGGTTAGCAGTTGACATTGAAACGCGACAAAAAGTGATTTAAATAAAATTCTTGATCAAAGTGTAAAATCTCAAATATGTCTCATTTTTTGTTTAAATTTCTACAACTTTTACCCTTTTTTCTGTTCAAAATCATAAAATTACCTCTAAAGAGGAAAAATTGTACAATATTTAGGTATTTGAAAGCACTTATAGGTCAATTTTGATGTAAATAGCATACCAAACCTTAGTTTAGAAACTCGCAAATGGGGTATAAATTTCTAACAGTAGTGGCAACTTTAGATTTACTTCATGCCAAATTATAACATCAAATCCTGCTAAAAATGTTTATTTAACTTATTGGCATGCAAAAATATAAAGCGATATATTCTGAGGCCATCATATAAAGCGCAATCTTTGGTTACAAGGGTGAAGCTAATGGAGTACAAATTTAAGACCGAACCATATCTTAGTGTCAAAATGTTTATATTTGGTTGCTATGGACAGTAAACAATAAAATTAATATGGATTACCATTCTAGTAGATTTTGTCCCTTCAGAACTAAAATAAGAATCTAACAGTCAATAGATTTGTGGTAAAATTTATCTTAAAAAGTGCATTTCTGTACTTTCAGATCTGCCATAAGGTAGCACTCCACAGTTAGAAAATAAAATTAAAATTGAACCACAAAATGTTTAATCATCTTCTATTCCTGGCTTTTAATACATTAAGCCAACTGTTTGTGTCATACATGTGCATATGTATGTAATCAGTATCTTCCATAGATATAATTTTCAAAAGTTAAAATGGTGAAAAATTAAATCTTTTTTTGTGTATCCATTGCATCATTCTGCATTTATTTAAAACAAAATATTGCAAAAAGGGGCATAAAAATGTCACATATTCCCCCAAAATTTGGTTTCAACTACAATTTCAATACCTATGAGTTATACCTTTTCTGAAACTGTTGACATTAATCTACCAAATGATCAAATAAAAATTGGATGTCTTTAGCCTCATTTTTTGGTAAAATTTAATCACAAAGTTCGTGCGACAAAAAAATTAAAAATACAATGCAATGATTGCCGGACCGATGTCTGGTATGCATATGAAAATACGGACTGTCATACAGAAAACAGCACATAATACATACATTACACAATCTAAATGTTCTTATAAACCCACTTTGAAGGCTATATTAATCTTCAGCTATCCAAAAATGAATTGTATTGCACACAAGCTCTCATATTTGAAAAATCCACAGGGACCAAAATGCGAAACTACGCACCTAACTGTGGAGTGCTACCTTAATATGAATTTTTTCCCCTGCTTCAACTTTTAGTACATTTTTCTGGGTTTCGCTAGCTGTAACGATTAAACTGGTACCTTATTTTTTAAAATTGGTTCAGTAATACAGATTTTATGAAGGTTAGCAGTTGACATTGAAACGCGACAAAAAAATGATTTAAAAAAAATTCTTGGTCAAAGTGTCAAATCTCAAATCTGTCTCATTTTTTTGTTAAATTTCTACAACTTTTCCCCTTTTTTCTGTTTAAAATCATAAAATTACCTCTAAAGAGGAAAAATTGTACAATATTTAGGTATTTGAAATCACTTATAGGTCAATTTTGATGTAAATAGCATACCAAACCTTAGTTTAGAAACTCTCAAATAGGGTATAAATTTCTAACAGTAGTGGCAACTTTAGATTTAATTCATGCCAAATTATAACATCAAATCCTGCTAAAAATGTTTATTTAACTTATAAGCATGCAAAAATATAAAGCGATATATTCAGAGGCTATCATATAAAGCGCAATCTTTGGTTACAAGGGTGAAGCTAATGGAGTACAAATTTAAGACCGAACCATATCTTAGTGTCAAAATGTTAATATTTGGTTGCTAAGGACAGTAAACAATAAAATTAATATGTATTGCCATTCTAGCAGATTTTTTCCTTTCAAAACTAAAATAAGAATCTAACAGTCAATAGATTTGTGGTAAAATTTATCTTAAAAAGTGCATTTCTGTACTTTCAGATCTGCCATAAGGTAGCACTCCACAGTTAGAAAATAAAATTAAAATTGAACCACAAAATGTTTAATCATCTTCTATTCCTGGCTTTCTAATACATTAAGCCAATTGTTTGTGTCATACATGTGCATATGTATGTAATCAGTATCTTCCATATATTTAATTTTCAAAAGATAAAATGGTGAAATTAAATCCTTTTTTGTGTATCCATGGCAACATTTTGCATTTATTTAAAACAAAATATTGCAAAAAGGGGCATAAAAATGTCACATATTCCCCAAAATTTGGTTTAAACTACAATTTCAATACCTATGAGTGATAACTTTTCTGAAACTGTTGACATTAATCTACCAAATGATCAAATAAAAACTGGGTGTCTTTCGCCTCATTTTTGGGTAAAATTTAATCACAAAGTTCGTGCAACAAAAAGTTAGAAAAAATACAATGCAATGATTGCCGGACCGATGTCTGGTATGCATATGAAAATACGGACTGTCATACAAAAACCAGCACATAATTCATACATTACACAATCTAGATGTTCCTATAAACCCACTATGAAGGCTATATTAATCTTCAGCTATCCAAAAATGAATTTTATTGCACACTAGCTCTCATATTTGAAAAATCCACAGGGGCCAAAATGCGAAACTACACACCTAACTGTGCTACCTTATGACTTTTGGACACCGGTATACTACTGATGCCTTTTTTTAGTTTCTTCGATTTATGGTCTAATATCACGCCTTGGGTTATGTAAATTTTGTCGAATCATTTTATGGAATGCGCTAACCGTTTACGGTTTATCATTGACAGTTTCTGTCTTATCATGCATTGGTCAAATCTTTAATCGTCACTGATGAGTCTTATGTAGACGGAACATGAGTACTGAGTACCAAATAATACGCCTGATTTCTTGTTTGTTACCACCAGACATAAATTACATACATGTAAGAAGAATTTTAGAATATTTGGTTCACAAAGCTCTTCAACCTCATTCTTGATTTGCTATTAAACTTTTTTGATTCGAGCGTCACTGATGACTTTGATGTAGACTAAACACGCGCATCGAGTTCAAAATTGTAAATCTGGTATCTTTGGCGAGTTTTACAACCACTGGGTTGACGTTTCGGTCCGGATAATATCACAAGCCGATAATTCTGCACTTTTGTGTTGACAAAAGAAATTATTGTCAAGATTTGTTTTGGGTAAATTTACTGTTTCAAAACTGTTTAATTATTCGAAACACTAAAGATTTTTACCCTTAGACATAGGTCACCCAAGCAGTATCTAACAACAGTTGTGTAACTACTGGGTCCCAATGTTCTTCAACTAACGTTACAGTAACTAAATTGCACAAATTCCCCACCCCCTCACGATTTTTTTAATTTGCCATCATGCTCATCTTTCAACATAGTTAACACAAAACTGTCACAATGTCTATCAACAGATGAATATCCAGTGAAAAAACTAAAATCTACAGAAACTTTGCTTGCATCAACCAAATAAAGTAAACTTTTCAAAATGAACTGTTTAATTATATTGAAACATTTTATTACTTTTTACAAAATGCATAGTATGCATGAACTATTGCCAAATTGTTCTTAAAATCTGGCGAAATGAAACAAAACATCAGTTATTCGTTTTTTACGGATACCAAAATTAAGCATGGATGCAATGTAGGTACTCCTCATTAGAGAAAATCGTGTGTCGTTTTGAGGTCGGTTTGAACCCATTTTTCTATGATCAAGTATGGATTCAAAATGTTTGTAGAACTTTATAGTAAAAAGGGTACCATCTACGAGATACACACAGAATGGGAAATTTGTCTGTTTCATAAATAAAAGAAGATGAAAGAACTTAAAAATTTGGTGCAGTTTTGATACCCTCACGTTACAAACTAGATTTTGCCTTCCAACTGTTTTGATTTGTGCGTCACTGTTAAGTCTTATGTACACGAAACACACGTCTGAGGTAACAAATTTTATGTCTGGAATCCTTGATGAGATTTAATTGCAGTGTTTAAGGCCGTTTGCCATAGGTGGTTAGGTAACTACACAATAGAAGTATACCTACTAACATCACAGATTAAGCACACTCTTAAACAAACAACTCTGTAATTAAGCAAAAGTTGTGTAATTGTAACATTGCTAAGAAGTATTATACCTTTACCTTTGTTTCCTTTGTTGTCGATATTATGAGTCTTCTTGCTATAATATGCTTGCTCGTTGTCCTTTGTTGAGGCTGTTGCTGAGTAAACGGTTATTATCACTATGTTTGTACAACAGGATAAATGACATCAACATATATGCAAGGTAAAGTCAAAATATTTTTTAAAAATTAATATCAAACTTTAGCACAATAAAGTAAGAAAAAATGCATATTCACAATCTTTTTGTTACTTTGTTTGTTATTTATAGCCTGAACAAAATGTTTCATTATCAATTCCCTAATTGCATGCTTAGAATTCTTTCATGAAACGCAAGGAATCTAAAAATAAATATTAAGTTAATTTTACATTTAAAGTTAATCATTCTTTATTTTTTTAAAAGGACTACCTCAAATGATCTAGCAGTGTGTTTATGCAGTAAATGCATTTAAGTTTAATATTTTTTTTTGTGATGAGTTGTTTGATATCTTTTCGAACACATACCATATTAGAGCATTTTTAATGACCCCTATTTCTGTTTATTTATTTTGGTTCGAAAAAAGGGACATGTTTTCACTAGAATTTACTCAAAATGACAAATATTTCATACATATCTAGGACTATGACAATCTCAAAAGATGTTGAAACCGATAATGAAATTGTATTTAGCAAATCTTTTGTTCTATCATAAATGATGATGTTTTTTATGTGTTCTTTTAAAATAACAGACACTATTGATAAAAAATATTGCAATTTTATGATTGAATGTACAAGCTGTTACTAAAAATAGTCGTTGTTAGGGTCTAGACTACTTCCAATTGTTTAGATTCTGAAGCACAAACACAAAGGAAAGTATTTAAGTCAATACAACGATATAGCTCCTTTCGAAACAATTTAGGTAATCGAGGTCAAATGTTTTAAAGTTTGATCATGTAATAAGGCATCTAGAAATGTTCCTGTCAACAATGGGCATTAATGAGAGATTAAACTTTAAGGGGCACCTTTAACGGAAATTAATACGATATGAAAACTTAAATATAATTTAGGGTTGCAGTTTCGAATATTATTCCATATATTAATTGGACAAATATTGTCAAACTAAATACATATGAAATCAAAGATTGATTCCAAATTTCAGGATGGGGGTGGCTTGTAATGAAATATGTGGTAGCGATGGGCCACTGGAATGTCACTATTTCAAGCTCTGTGATATAATATGAAATATATCACAAGGTTGCTTATTGAATCATTAGTAACTGAACTAATCAGATGTTGATTTGATTTCACAGATGCCATAAAAGCCGCAATTGTAAATGTATCAGATATCTGTCAAATCTATTTATCTCTCCATGAAATAGAGTTATAATGATAGATTAAGGTACAGTTTGTGTCAAAAATATATGACAGGGTATGTATTTTTGCTATTAAAAAAAGGGTGGGGTACTGGATATCTCATCTGCTCACTCCTACCGTAAATGAATTGAAGTTGCCACAATTCATTGAAGCCTGATCAAGTGAAAACGATTACGAGAACATCAAACCATCATTCCTAGCTTATCTTCCTTTTGATTTATTTCTACTATGTTGTGGTTTTTGCAAACTCCTTGATTTGATGGAGTATTTTTTCAATAAAAGCTGATAGATACATGCTGAAAATCCAAATCAAACAAAACATAACAAAATAATGAAAAAATTGGACCTGTTGTGTTGAAATAAATTCAACGACTGTCGATACAATTATTTTATATGTGAAAGTGTCCGGATGGAATCTAATTATATATACCAAAAGTTAAATTTGTATCTGTCTATCGGCTTCTGATAATTGAGAAATTAAGATTTAAAGAGCCCTTCTGAACTATGAACTTGAAACTAATAAAACATAAATAAGTGTTACCACAATCTAAACTGACCAAGGAGGATGAAAACGTGAGGAAAAAGGGAAACAAATCATTAAAACCACACCATAACATAAAATAAATTTCAAATGGTAAGACTTACTCTAACTGGGCTGCATTTGAGCTTATCCGAAAATCAGGGTAATTTTGTTCTTTTAAGTGTTTTCGAAGCGATGATTCTACGAAATAACCAGATACATGCATGACGACGTCAAGAAACGTTCGGTATTTTCAGGATTTGATACACATGACAGGAGAACATGCAAGAAATTAAATTCAATGTAATTTTCCTTGTATATGTATTTGCAAGGCGAAGGTATAGGTGTTGTATTTGTTTCTTTATCAGTCTTACTTAACCGCGTCTTTTCAAGAACCAGACCGTATTGTTTATAAAAACTGGACTCGGAGCCAAAACCTAATTTAAAACAATAAAGCATCTGATATTAGTCCAAGAGACATACTTGTAAATACTTATGATAATAATATGAACAAAATTTGAAAAATTTATTAACGGTTAGATTGAAATACTTACAGGCCAATGAAAAGGCAGATACCAATAATACCACAAATACTATTAAAGATTTCAAGCCATCTAAACCATAAATATGTCCTGAAAACAGAATAAATAAATCTTTTAAATAAGTCAGTAAAAGAATATTTCTTTAATTTCGTCTTTTCGATTTTGTCATTTTCTTAAGGACTTTCCGTTTAGAATTTTCCTCGGACTTTGTTATTTAACTTTTTGAAAAGTTATTAAATAGTTCAATAAATCTTTTGAGTATAAATAATATAACAAAATTCAGAGCATCCAAAATAACATTATGTAATTGAAGGGAATACAGTTAGAGTTAATAATAAGTTCCTCATACCGCTTCATTTGTCATTGCCTTACTAGAAATATTAGTAGATATATAACGCTTTGCAAATTGGTTGAGTAATATTTGTTTTTCTTTTTTTGCATATATGTTACGATTCCTGAAAACTAAAGGAAATTGTATTAAAAATAAGATTTTCCATAGTCTGCAATGTCGAATTTTCGTCAATAAATCATATTGATCTTCAGTGTTATTGCGGTCATAAAGATGCCATTGGAGTATAAAAAGATCGTATGAAAAAAACCTTTTCTTTAAAGTAGTGAATAAAGGCAACAGTAGTATACCGCTGTTCAATAGTCATAAATCAATTAAGCGAAAACAAATTAAAAACCAAAAATGAGGGATACACATCAACTATAAGAGGAAAACAACGGAACAACAGAAACACTGAATTGCAACAAAAACAAAAGCCAACATACATAGAAACGGACTATTTGATAACAACTGCCATATTCCTGACTTGATACAGGACAATTAAAACAAGAGGCTCTCAAGAGCCTGAATCGCTCACCTGTATTTCAGAGGAGAAGATTTTTAAATGTTAGCAAACTTGATGAACAAATTGTGTAAAATTGTTTTTAAAGGGCAATAACTCCTTAAGGAGTCAATTGACAATTATGGTCATATTAACTTTTTTGTAGATCTTACTTTGCTGAATATTATTGCTGCTTACAGTTTATATATATCTTTAATAATATTCAAAATAATAACAAAAAACTGCAAAATTTTGTTAAAACTACCAATTCGGTGGCAGCAACCCTACAATGGGTTGTTCGATTCGTCTGAAAATTTCAAAGCTAGTAGATCTTGACCAATTGAACAATTTTACCCCCATGTCAGATTTGCTCTAAAAGCTTTAGTTTTTGAGATATAAGCCAAAAACTGCATTTGACCCCTATGTTCTATTTTTAGCCATGGCGGCCATGTTTGTCAATGGATCAAAACTTCGGATATAATTTATAAACTAGATACCCTAAGGAACATTTAGTTAAAGTTTGAAGGTATTTGGCCCAGTAGTTTCAGAGGAGAAGATTTTTGAAATAGTTTACGACAGACGACGACAGACGACAACAGACGATGACGACAGACGACGACGACGACGACAGACGACGACGACAGACGACAGACGACGACGGACGCCAAGTGATGGCATAAGCTCACATGGGGCCCTTCGGGCCCCGGTGAGCTAAAAATGGTGGGTTGAACCTGGTTTTATAGCTAGCCACACCTCCCGTTTATATGACAAGGTTAAAAATACCGCTAAAATGAGAACAATACGTGGCAGAAATACATAAATAGATAATATAATACAATATGAAAAACGCAGAATACCAACGGACACCTCCCATGAATTTACGACAGCACACCAGAACACCACAAACGAAAGGAGTCTTTAGCCTTCACATTTGACTGTATAAAAGTATGAAATAAACTTGTTTGTTTATACTTATACATGATTATATGATAGCAATGAATTGTTTAACCTTATCAATATCAATCTCTTTTTTGAAAAATCTATAACAATTGAAGATAGAATTAAGATGTTCAGCAAATATCTCTTTAGGAAAAACATAATGCAGAGAAAAATTAGAAAGTAAATGCTTGAAATCGAATAACCCGCAAATCGTAAGCGCAATACTTACACGTGCATATACAAAATACTATACAAATATGAAGATATGTTATGATTGTCGATGAGACTTCTCCCCACCACAGACCAAAGGACGTTAAAGCCAGCAACTATAGGTAACCGAATGGTCTTCAACCATTAGCAAAACCCACAGCGCATAGCATGCGATGAAAGGTTCATTTCAAACGAGAAAACTTACGGCCTGATTTATGTACAAAACAATAAACGAAAAATAAATATATACAGCAACAAACGACAACCATTGAATTGAAGGAAACTTGACTTGTGACAGGCACATACTAATGTTGCGGGGTTTAACAAGTTTACCCAACCCGCCCCAAACCTCAAACCGTCGTGTAACAGCACGACATATAAACAATCTTTACAAATCAGTTTTAAAAGGATTGACTCGTCTGATCTTCACAAAACACACACAATAAATAACAAACAAAAAGACTTAAAGATAATCGCTACTCTTGTTATTTACTTTTCGTCAGATATTCGAAATTCTCTGGCTTTATCAATATAGTGCCATTAAAAATTTGGCAGCTAACACCTATTTTTCCTTTTTATAGTTTTATAACATATAGTTTAAAAAGTTATTTTATTTCAATTTCATAAATCCTTGGTTTTTTTTTCATTGTTCGAAAGAAAAAAGGTGACAATGTTAAATGAATGAAAAATGTAGCAAAAAAAAAAGTTCAGTTATTTATATACTATCAATTTATAACAGTCTTGAAATAAGCTTGTTATTTTGTCACAGAACATCAAACATCCTAAAGACAAACAGTATCAACCGGAGTGTATTTGCATTTACTGGCAGCTATATCAACGCAAAGCAAAAAAGAAATCTACTACACGCTAAAAATGCATTAAAGACTAAAAATATCAATCAGTACACATCCAATGGATAAAATGTAAAAAAGTCATAAACAGTCAGAGAAAAAAAAAAACAATCTTGTGCAATGCATAAATATAAGTATTGACAGAGTATAGGACCGTTCATATTTACAGCTATATAGCAATAATATTAAGTTATGTTTTGATTTATCGATAACAAAATCAATGTTTTACCCCGTCACGCTTTTGTTTTATACATAAATCATGTCATTATTTTTCTCGTTTGAATTGTTTTGCATTTGTCATTTCGGTACTTTGTATTGTGTTTTGGGTTTTGCTCATTGTTGTTGGCCATACTATGACCTATAGTCTAACCTTCTACGTCATAGGGTCTCTTGTGGGTAGTTATCTCGTTGGTAATCATACCACATCTTTTTTTTGTACCATTAAATCAATATTCAAACATATCATTACAGCGTTTAATTGCTAAAATAAACTCAACTAAAGGATCTTTACTAAATTTTCGGGCTCTATAAACAACATCACCTCAAGAGTAAGAATGTGATATTCTGTTTGTTATAAGCTTTCTCCAAGTACAGCCAAATTTCCGAACCAAATCTTAGCATCTATGAAAGAGTTTTAGTAAATGGTATATGTAATTTTTGACGACAAAATCCCTGATTTAATAATTTATCAGTAATACCCATATAACATTCGTTGAAAATACCACAGACACGGGCAAAGTGAACAAGGTCGGAAATATAAACAGCGTTAGATGGGGCTAAATGAACATCTCCATTCCAAAATGGGAAATTAACAATTGGGAAGGAAGCATCTTCTGCTATGCAAGCATCATCCGTTACAGTTTTCCATAGTAACACACACAATTCCTTAGGTTTTCATCAACTTGCAGCTGCTACTCAGACTTTATAAAACGTCACCAGTGTCTGAGCAGAAAGTTGATGAACCAGGGTTATGTCAAAGAACGTCTTATTCTTTTTTTAAAACGTTTATCTGAAGAGTCAGAAACCTTGCTGATAAATATTCCAAATGATACATGATGGTCTTGAAGTATAGATTATATGTACAAACGTTTTTTATCATCCTGAATACGTGTTTTAGTGTTCTTTTTATTTGTCTTTATATATTTTTATTAGTTTTTTTTTTGGTAATATACTTTTTGCGTGGCTCGGTATTTATACATCATATCATTGTGTTATTGTGGTATAGTCATTTTTTTTTATTCTTGTCTTTCTTTTTTGCTTATGTGCTTTGTCTACAGAGTGTCTTTATGCCATTTTGTTTTTCGTTATTGCATAGTTGTTTGTTTTATAGTGAATGAGAATATAACACAATGATGCCTGCTATACCCCTATTTTTGACATGTTTACCTATTATGTCTGTTTGTTTTGATCACACATTGTTGTCAATATAATGGAATTTTATGCGGTTGTCACATAAGTGAGAGGTTTGGCAAGCTATAAAACCAGGTTTAATCCACCATTTTATACATAAGGAAATTCCTGTACCAAATCAGAAATATGACAATTGTTTTCCATTTATTTGATGTGTTTGAGCTTTAGATTTTGCTATTTGATAAGAGACTTTTCGTTTTGAATTTTGACATTTTGACAGCCCACAAGGTAGACATATCATAGAGTGAACATGTCACATTGAAACATCGAAGATATATAAAACATCACGATGTCGACCGTAGAACGTAAAAAGAGTTTTTCAATCGTATTTCCTCATAAAGTTGGTAGTAGAGAACGTTACAAATTTACCTCTTTCAGATATTTATTCGTACATACCTTCTTTTCCAGAGACAACATTGTTTAGATTAGTCACGACATAGGACGCATTATGCCGTGTATGTTCCTTGTCTGTCACTGTTCTGCAATGGTTATACGAGAATAAAAAAATAGATTAAATGTTTAGATACAGACCAACCATTTATGAAGCTAGAATCATAAAACGCTCCTATCTAGTTTCTTCAACAAGGTTCGTGATATACATTTGTTTAATCAATAAGTTTCTTGGTTGATCTTTTATTCCAGTGGTCTGTCCAAATTAGGTACATAAAAAGTATTGTCATTATTCACCTTAACTATTCCTCATAAGAAGCTTTTACGTGACATTTGTCTAAAAACTAATTTGAAAGTTTAATCTTCACAAAACTACTAATATGACATACATATATGAACTATTTTGCCCATTTTGTATTTCATAAAAATATTTGTACAAAAAAAATGTAAAATAAGATGTTTTTACCTAGAAACGTTTTATCCCATTCCGTAATTCAATGGGTAAATATAGTAACAGGAACAGGTTATCTTATGAAGTATGTTATAACTAATGAGTTGCGTTCTGATTTAACTGTTGGAACGCCACATAATGACAAAGAAGAAAGGTATTTAAACATTTTCTTGGTCAAAGCTTGCTTAGTTACTGTGCCTGTGTTGTAAAAATATCATGAGTAAAATTTAAAATGCACATATTTGGGGGTTTTTTTTGGCAAGAGACTCAATAATGGCGCTAGATCAAAACAGCTTGATTGCTTTATGAATGCGGAAATTGAAAAATATATGATGTGCGCTTCCGTTTTATGTATGCATAAAATAAAACTTGAGAAAAAAATCACCTAAGATTCGAAAATTTAAAAGGAACTACTATTGAACTTACACAACATGGTAAGTACTGTTTCCATGTAATACTGTTATAGTTTTACATTCATAATCTGAAAACAACAGTAAAAGATGATAATATTATCAATTGTATATTTTTGATACATGCATTAACAGTTTATACATTTTCCCGATTAAGTAGAAATTTTGTATAAAAATCCTTGTTTGCTACAAACAAAAAAACATATATCAATACCCATGTACGTTGCCTTTTAAAGTCTTTTATAGACGTGTAAGCATTAAAATAGATATCACTCTGAAGCGGCAGACACTGCAGAGCCCCGAGAATCGTTTACTAGCGCAAACCATGATGATTTATTTCAAATCTTCAAGCGTAAGGGACTGCATTTCATCCAGTGTAATGTACGATCGCTTCTTCCAAAATTGTCAGAAATTAAAAAGTGACAGCTCAGACAAAAGCAGCTGTAATCTCTATTACAGAATCATGGATGGACAATATAGTAACATATGCTGATTTACACATCGAAGGATACAACATTGTGAGACTATACGGTTCTAGAAATGATGGAGGGGTGTGCGTATCCATCAGGAAGGACATTGCGTTTTCGCCAAGACAAGATCTTCATGATGATAGACTTGAGGCCCTCTGGATAGACATCTCAATACCGAAAACCAAATCGATTACTATTGGGACCGTCTACAGACCACCAAAAGAGGCATCTTTTCTTATTAACTTTGAAGAAATACTAAATAAAATAAATGAATTGTACATTGTTGGTCATATAAATATATATGTTTATAACAGGTCATCTTTTTATATAAATCTGTATAAGAATATTTTACAAATTTCAAATTTGGAGCAATTGTTATGCGAACCAACCAGAATAGCTGAAAACAGTAAAACATTGTTAGATCATGTAATTGTGAATTCTGAAGACAGAGTCAGTCAGTCAGGTATTATTCCAATTGTTGTAAGTTTTCATTTTATGACATATTTTACTAGAAAAATTGAGAAAAAATCAAACTCAGTTAGTGGAGGAAATTTAATCAAAATAAGATATACCAAAAATTACACTAAAGAAGAATTTTGTCAAAAACTAAATGTTGTTAATTGGTCTGAATTATATTTATGTAAAGAAGTAAATGGAACTTGGGTAAAATTGAAAGATATTTTCACTTGAATTTTAAATGAAGTAGCTCTAAAAAGAGATATCAAGTTAAAAAAAAACATACAGAATCTTGGATAACTTCTGAAATTATTGAAAAAAGATATCAGCTTTTGAAAATGTATGAAAAAAACAAAAAATAAACATCTTTATAATGATTATTATAAATGCATAAATAAAACACAGTGGGAGGTAAACAAAGCTAAGTTATCATATTCTGAAAATAGAAATGAAGAAAATAAAAATAATTCTAAAAACATTTGGAAACAGTTTAAAAGTATGGGTTACAGTACTAAACAGAAGGAGAAAAGTAAAGTTGTACTCAATATAGATAATGAGAACTGCCATGACTCAAATACGGTGGCTTACTTTTTAAATAACTTTTTTACAACTATAGCTGATAATTTAGTATCAAAATTACCACCAGTTCCAAAAGTGTCTGCTATCAATACAGATATTTTAAATTTTTTTATAATATTGTTAGATGTAATTATTTGAGTTTTAAATTAAAACCTGTGACTGAAGAATATTTTTTCAAACAGTAACAACAACTCAATCCAAGAAAAAGTACTGGATTAGATGGAATACCATCAAGGTTTTTAAGCAAAATCAATTACATATATAGTTAATCTGTCGATAACTTCAGGCATAGTACCTGATGAGATGAAAACAGCTAGAGTGTGTCCTTTCTATAATGCAAAAATAACGAGGTCTCATTTGTTAGCCGGCATGACGTTAAAACGACGAATCAAAGAATTCTACTGTATTTATGTATTACTAATATAGGACAATGGTGTTGATTAAAAATTACACCATACCAGGCCCTTTTGTTTTCCACATAATTATTATAACCAAGAATTAACAAATCCCGGGTCGAATCCGATACCGATACCAATAGTATATGTCACATGTAGTATCCGGTTGTATGCATGTTCTGTATCTTGGAGCATCACCATGGGGTATGGTGTGAAGGAAGATATTTAACACACTGTATCGGTACAGATTTAATGTGAGCATTTTCCGTCCCAGTTTCCCAGCTTGGCCGTGACGGGTCTAACTACCAGAAAATAAACCTCCCAATAAATCAATAAGAACAATGCAATAAATTATATGAACATACTTTCGCCTGATTCGCTCATCCTCAAAATATAAAAATTGAAAAATATAAAAAAAATTATATAAAGAATAAGGGATAATATTGTAGTAAGAACGGGATAAAACTAGAGGCTTCAAGGAGCCTGCGTCGCTCACCTGATATTTTTGTTTACAATTGATGCATGAAACAATGCAACAATAATACTTTTTTAAAGGAATCTGTGTGGACCAAAATCTAATCTTTCGATTGATTTTAACTGCTTTCAACCCATTTATCATTTTAAGTTTTCAAGGTTAAAACACACATTTCAAGTGAAACTTCAAAAATACTCTTTTGACATTTCAATATTTAATAATTTGTAGATCTTGTCTTGCTGATCATTTATTCCTGTTACAGTTTCTTTCTATTTATTATACTTTTTAAGATATCAGCCTAAAACAGCAGAAATCGGTAAAAATCGTCATAAAAGGGCAATAACTCAATGAAAAGTCGTGTGATGATTTCGGTCATGTTTGACTTATTTGGAGATCTTGTTGAACTGATCATTTTTGCTTATTTAAGTTTCTAAATATCTGTAATTGTTTTCAAAATGATATGCAAAAAAAAAAACAAATAATAAAATTTGTCATTTAAGGACAACAATTTCTATAAGAAGTAATCTGACTGTTTTGACTTAAAGAGACAGTAGGTAGATCTCAACATTGTGAACATTTTTGCCCCTGTAAGATTTTCGCTACTCATATCAGTTTTCAAGATAATAGACACAACTTGCATTTTACCCCTATGTTCTATTTTTATTCTAGACGGCCATGTTGGTTGGTAAGCGGGGTCATCGGACACATGATTTCAACTAGATACCCTAATTATGATTGTGGTCAAGTTGGTTGAATTTGTCTGTGTAGTTTCAGAGGGGAAGAGTTTTGTAAAAGATTATAAAAATTTACAAAAAATTGTTAAAAATTGACAGTAAAAGGCAATAACTCCTTAAGGGATCAATTGACAATTTTGATCATTTAACTTATTTGTAGATCTTACTTTGCTGAACATTTTTGCTGTTTACAGTTTATCTCTATCTATAATAATATTCAAGATAATAACCAAAAACTGCAAAGTTTTTTTAAAATTACCAATTCAGGGGCAGCAACCAAACACTGGGTAATCTGATTCGTAGGAACATTTCAGGGCAGATATGTCTAAACCTGATGAACATTTTTACCCTGTCGTATTTGCTCTAAATGTTTTAGTTTCAGAGATATAAGCCAAAAACTGCATTTTACACCTATGTTCTATTTTTAGCCATGTCGGCCATGTTAATTGGCATGCGGGTTCATCGGACATATTTTTTAAACTAGATACCTTAATGATGATTGTGCCCAAGTTTAGTCGAATTTGTCTATGTAGTTTTAGAGGAGAAGACACATTATGTACTTTATAAATCGGTCAGATATAATCAACTTCCCAATCATCTTTTACCTATTCCGCAACTTTGCAACTAAAATTTTTATCAACTAAAAGACTTATCCAGGATATCGTTATTGATTATTCCAAATCTAAAATTGCTGATTGATTCAATTATATATAATATGACTGGTAATGTTATAGTGACCTTTCGAAATATGCAACAACAATAGAACTGATTATGTGAAGAACTATACTAATCAACGGACCAATGGTGACAAAGTTGATTAACCTTAAATAGCGTAACGGATTGTTCAAACAACTGCTACATGTCAATGACATGTCTTTAGTTACTTATATTATAAATTTCTGGTATCTTCGAATATATGTGTATAACCATTTTTTAAAGCATTGACTTTTTTTTTTCTTTCACTAAAGTGCTTACCTGGATTAAGGTTTTGACCTTCTACACAACGTTTACTGTAACAACTGCAGTCCTCTTGTGATGGAATACATGCACTTTGATTTTGCGGTCTTATTACAAATGCAAATCCTCTGTTGTAATCACAGCGACAAGCTTTGTTACTAGTTGTTGTTCCATCGTTAACTTCAACTTGACCGTCTGATGAACACATTGACTTCAGATATGTGCATTTATAACGTTCATTGGACCTGAACAAAAAAGTTTGATAAGAGGAAACCGGACAAGTCTCGTAGTCGATGTATCGACCTCTTAATACTGGATAGTTACCTGTATTTGTAGTAAACAACATACAATTAGTATTTGTATTTTTGTTACTTTGGCATTTTCACTTAACAAACATTGGCTTGTCTTTTCCAATTATTATAAACTTATATATTATGAATTAACACAGCTTGTGTCCCCATATAAACAAATAGCCCTTCTTTATACATTACATCTTCTGATAAAGAATACCATGAACAAGCATTTTTGTAAAGAAAAATGTATATTGCAAACTAAAAGATCCAGGATTTTCATTTTTTTAGATATAAAGATATATACATGAACAACCCGCTGCATTTGTATGCACCTGTCCTAAATCAGGAGCCTGTTGTTCAGTGGTTGTCGTTTGTTGGTGTGGTTCATTAGTGTTTCTCGTTTATTGTTTTTTATATAGATTAGACCGTTGGTTTTCCTGTTTGACTTGTTTTACACTAGTCATTTTGGGGCCCTTTATAGCTTGCTGTTCGGTGTGAGCCAGGGTCCCGTGTTGAAGGCCTTACTTTCACCTATAATAATTGTTTACTTTTTACACATTGTGACTTGGGTGGAGAGTTGTCTCATTGGCACTCATACCACATCTTCTTATTTATTATAAGTGGTGAATATTAATCTATCCTTTTTAGTCTTATTGTACCTAAAGATACCCATTCTGGAGTTCTGCATTCCTCTTTGTAGTTGTTAAACGCAATGCGATGTAACGCCAAACAGTGATATTCGTAATCATTGTTGCATTTTACTTTTGAGAATATAACTAGTTCAGCCATTTCAGGACATCTTTTAACATAGGTGTGACTTGATCGAAAATAAAATACCTGAAACAAATTCTACAAATGCAACACATGTATGTATACACATTTATTTTGTATCAATTTAATTTATGGATTTCTGTGAAGAGCCGAAACTAAATGAGCAATAATTTGATACTTGTACTTGTCTAGTCAAATGATGATTAAATCTGCCATCTATCAAGTACAATGATGATAACTTTAGCCTGATTGTCAACATATTTTAAATGAAGAACATTTCAAGAAAAATACATAGCCAGAATTATGATGATACTAAAAATACACTCCCTTTTTTAAATTTTTTTTTTACCTTTCCAAAGAAGTACATCGAGAAAAGGGCAAATGTATGAAGTGTTATCTCTTTTTTATTTAAACACAAAGTTAAGAACGGGTTTTTGTATTTAATATGAAGATTGTATAAAAAAGACCAGCAGAAATCAGCTTCGTTTATAAAAATTCACTATAGTATTCTAGAATATAGTTTCAAAAGCGTACACAAAACGTTTTGTTGTCAACATTTAAAAACAAAACAATTGTTATAGTTTCACTTTGATGTGAAAGATTGTAAATTAACAATTTATTCATTGATGTGCAACATAGGTGACTTTACGGTACAATGAAAGTTCTTATGTTTTATTATGGAACGCCACAGCTGTCTTATGTGGAACTCTGATATTACTTTATGTTGTTTTATTATTACTTGATGATATTTTGTCTTTACTTAATATGGTTTTGACATTACGTAATGATGTTTTGATATAACTCAATATGGAATAGTCATTACTTAATGATATTTCGATATTACACGATATGGTTTCGTATTGAGTTCATATAGTTTTGTCATTACTCAATATGGTTTTGTCATTACTCGATGTGATTCACCATTATCTGATGTGGTTGTGTCATTAGTCAATGTGGTTTTAACATTACTTGATGTGAATGTGACTTAACGTTATGTAGTTGTTTCATTACATGATGTGGTTTTGTTATTTTGTAATGATGATTTGCCTATTTTTTATATGGTTTTAACATTACGTAATGATGTTTCAAAATTTGACGATTTTACACTACATGATGTGTTTGTTTCATTATTTGATGTGGTCCTGTCATTCTTTGATGTGGTTATCCCATTACTTGATGAGGTAAAATCACGTGACCAATTCGGAAAAACCTGTTCTATTTTTAGATAGATTTCCATGTTGTATGTGCCTTGGATGAGTGTGGCCATCCATCGAATTAGAGTTCAAATTAAAGTTCGGGTTACTGTTTAAGTTATACTTTGAGTTAGTCTTCGATCTCGAATTCAAGTCATTATTAGAATTAAAGTTTTAGTTAGCATTGAGTTTCGAGTTGGACTTCGAGTTTGAGTCACATTTGAAGATAGAGTTCTAGTTACAACATTAAATTTGAGTCACTTTTTTAGTTTGAGTAAGATTCGAATTTAAGTCTCATTCAGATTAATTAAGGTTTTGAGTTGAAATTCGAGCTATCTTATATGAGTTCGTAATTGAATTTTCTCTCGGAACAAGGACTTTGCTCGGGCTTCCGAAAAGAGGGCTCCTGGGTATGCGTACAAAAGATAAACAATGTTACAAAATAAACGGTCTTATTTATATTTAAACAATCTACAAAAAAAATGACACACATTTATACAACGACAACAATTGAATTTCATGCTCCTGACTTGGGGCAGGTACATAAAGAAAGTGCACGTGGTGGAGTTTAACATGTATGTGAGCGCTAAATCCTAACCTTACATCGGACTGTTACAGTTGTGTTACAGCACAAAACGAGAAAAAAATGTAAACTAGACAAAGTGATGCCCCCGCACTCAATTCATTTAAATTAACCGCTTATACCCCAAAAATGACAAAAAAAAGTTCAATTATCTCCAAAAAGAGCAAAAGATAATAAAAATAAAAACCCTGACCACATGCACACCTTCAATAATTTTACAAACAGACAGTAAAGAGAAAACTTCCTCGGATTCAAACTGTAGGAGGAGTTATGCGGAATGACTATATATCCATAATGGGACGGACAGACGGACGGACGGACAGGGGTAAAACAATATGCTCCCCAACTTTCAGTTGCAGTGGCATACAAAACATTTAATTTGGCTGACTCAATAGATCGGTATGACTGGGTAATATAAATCCATCGGGGTGATCTCGGATGCTCCAGAAAGGCACCCGTCGTGTTATTCGAGAAAGTACAAACCCAGTGATTTGGTTTAATTTGGTATTTCACATTCAATGAAAAGATAACGGTATTATGGTTACGACCACTAGAACATGTCCGTCGTCACATGTGAAACAGATATTCCAAAAAGTTTATTTTCAATTAGTGCGAGGTAGATCAGGGAATTCAATTGATTACAAATAAAAGATTGATATCCATAAAAGTTCGCTAAAACAAAATTCGGAGAATTCTTATTTTATAGTATTTATGCTTTGTCGCTAAGTCCGAGCCCCCTCCCCCCGTTTCCCTGTAACTTTAGTGTGAGTTGATTTGAAGTGTTTCATTTGTTAACAATAAAGTTCAAGTCTTTTGATTTGTGTCGAGCCTGCGACATCAATGTAGCGGCAGTGAGACACAACAAACCTATATTTCGTCGTCGATAGTGGCGTCGGCGTCGGCGTCTCCATCTCCATTTTTTTTTTTTATTTCTGTTGATTTTAACCTTCCATTATACATGTTACTAAACATGTATGCCATCATAATTTTGAACTTTTAGAATATCATACTGTGTTTGTTTACCTCAACTATTGTATCTGAATTGATATTGTATGTTTCTCTGTAAACTTGTAATTAGTTTTTAGAGAATAAAGTATCTATCTATCTTTCTATCTATAGATCGTTAGGTTTCTAGTTTTTTACATTTTTCATTTCGGGACCTTTTATAGCTTACTATAGGGTATAGGTTTTACTTATTGTTGAAAACCATACAGTTTTGTTTTAGTTAAATAAAACCGAATTAAACTGTTTGACATGATAAATTTGTAAACCTCCATGAAGTGTTTTAAAACTTGTATAGGAGTTATTCCTCAATTTCAAGAAAAAGCATCTACAGAAAAACATTTTTTTTTAATTTTTTTTTTTACCGATAAATGTATAGATAAATGTACAGCCGATCGACATGACGCTTTTACACTTACAGCTGCAATATCAGGCGAGACACATGGTTGTGTGGAATATCTTACAAATTTATTACAAAATACTGCTTCCGTTTGAGAACTTAGGATAAAAACAACAAGACCAAGTGGTTTGGGGAAATCCCAATTATGTACGAAATACTGTAAACTTTTTAATACATTTTTTCTTATTATTGTCTGCCGTTCCCCTTTTTCATACCAAATAACTCTGAACAACCACTCGAACTTTAATTTGAACTTTTACTCAATGGATAGCGATACCCATCCAAAGCACATTATACAAATGATATATTGAAATCTGTTTAAAAATAGAACATATTTTTTTCCGAATTGGTCACGTGATTTTACCTCATCAAGTAATGGGATAACGACATCAAAGAATGACAGGACCACATCAAATAATGAAACAAACACATCATGTAGTGTAAAATCGTCAAATTTTGAAACATCATTGCGTAATGTTAAAATCATATAAAGAATAGGCAAATCTTCATTACAAAATAACAAAACCACATCATGTAATGAAACAACTACATAACGTTAAGTCACATTCACATCAAGTAATGTTAAAACCACATTGACTAATGACACAACCACATCAAATAATGGTGAAACCACATCGAGTAATGACAAAACCATATTGAGTAATGACAAAACTATATCAAGTCAATACGAAACCATATCGTGTAATATCGAAATATCATTAAGTAATGACTATTCCATATTGAGTTATATCAAAACATCATTACGTAATGTCAAAACCATATTAAGTAAAGACAAAATATCATCAAGTAGTAATAAAACAACATAAAGTAATATCAGAGTTCCACATAAGACAGCTGTGGCGTTCCATATTTTATTTGTAAGGTGTACTTGGTAGTGTTTATATCTTGGTGATAAATGATAGCAATATGTAGAAAATAGTGTAGTAGATAGGTGTTAATATTAAATTAAACTTTCAGAATTTGTATAATTGATATGGGGGCGCTTCTTCGAGCACATTTTTCAAGATTCAGCCTCATTTTGGTAAAGCTGATGAAGGAGGAACATACAGTGGTGATATTCAATTTCGGTAAAAAAAAAAAATCCCCTCCTCCTCCCCAACCTCCCTCTAAAAATAAGTAGTTTCAATTACCATTGAGATTTAGGTGTTATGATTTGGTTATTTTAAGAAACATGGCATTGGCGGTATCTGCTCCCAATAGTTGAGATGTTACACTATTATTAGCAAAATGTATAGTTAAGGGTAGATAACTCTAAATTATTTGACTTTTCAAAATTTTAGATTTCAATTATTGATGACATTTGTCTTTTTTACTTATCATAAAATATGCTTTTATGGGTTGAGATTGTACTAAAAGTATTATATATTAAAAGTTACAATTTGTAGTTGTCATTGTAGTGTATGCTATATTTTATACATGTATCTTTTCATATGATATCATAACTGTCACATTTGTGGTCCGCATTATCATAACTTGTGTTAGTTGTTATTTGCCTTCAGGGCACCATAAATTCTTTTATGATACACTGAAACGGCGAAAAGTACATATTTGTATAGAGTAAGAATGTACACTCACAAATAAGAAAATGCCAGAAATTCCATACTTATCCAAAGTAACCATTTTCAGAAAACTGTACATGTGTTGTCAACTGCAACAGCACAGCTACAAATAAATTAAGCATTATTTTGAATGAAATAGATTGACTTTTCAACGATGATAAATATATCATTAGAATTCATTTGTTTATGTTCCTTATCCGTTTTTTTTTTCTGTACAGGTCACTGTGATGAAAATATATGGACATGCAACAAGTGGTCGACATACTCTCTTCCAACATCACAAGTGCATTTATCTTATTCACATTTCCTAAGATTAAATGCATTGCATATTTTTCCAAGGATTTAATATACTCAAAACAGCGTTTTCGGGATTTTATGTTCAATGTTCTTGTGTGGTGTTTTAATGGATTTTTTAATTTACAAAAAGAAGTAGTTAAATTGTTGTGGAATAGAAAATTTGATCTGTTAGCTACTGATGTCATTTGGAACATTTGCCACTAACCAATTTATCTAACACTACATAGATGAATTTGCTCCAAATGTTAGGAAAATTAAAAAAAATATTTCAGAATATAATTACTTTAGACTGAAATAAAGAAATGCAATAGACAAGAATATATTTGTATGTCGATATCATAATTATGTAATTTGTTTATTTACCACTCCTATACAAAGTTTACTAAGGACTGTTCTCCACAACTATTTATGTGCTAAAGCATATGCTCTCTTAATCAGCGATATCAAACGTATTTTTTATCAAGTAAACATTGCCAACAGACTTCACCAAGGGTTTCGGCGTAACCAACATTTATTTTTTAATCAGAATCTTTTTTAATTGACTGTTTTTATAACTATTTTTCACATGCTCTGAATATCGCATATCGGAGCCCATCAACTTATTATTTTGATAATTTAATAGACAATTTATTGACTTGAATGAGGATTGCGAGTAAGTTAGTTCTTAGTTCTTACAGTTTGAATTAATGAAGACAGTTCATTCAATGTTTGATAAACTAATCAATTAATAAAATGGTTCAGAGACCTTTATATTTTGAATAATTAGAAGAACATGCGTCATAAATATTGTTTTATAGCCGATAGAAATTATAGAAAAAATTGTGCTTGTACCATTGGTGCATGTGTTTTTACATACAAATGTCTGATTTATAAGTCGTATGTTTCAGGAGAGGAACCAGCATGTACCACAACTTGCACTCAGCGACGTTATACCGTATAATAACTTCCATTTTACGTACATAAAAAAAAGTTATAAAATCAACCAATTGAAACATTACAACGACGGACAAATAAAGATATATGCTATATGAACACATTTCTTCGATTGTATCCAGTCAGGAAAAACGGTCAACTGAAAAAGTTTAACAATCGATTAGTCATACTTATGTTTGGTAATATAAAATGTTTCTCTAACCTTTTATCAATTTACCAAAATAAGTAGTGAAATTTATCAAAATTACGTCTTTTATCAATGCATTTGAAGCTTACAAATAACAACAAACCTTATTAAATGTCAAACACAAATTAGAACTCCATTTTGTCATCACTAGCAACATATAAAAAATTGAAAAGCATTGGCTGACCAATTCTCATGTTATTGCACAGAAACACCTAGTTCCGTCCACATGCCACACTACCCAAATATAATAGCTGGATTTAAAGTAGGGAAAACCCGGTAAAAGATTCAGCATTGCGATTCAAGAGAATGATAAATATTTCCACTATAAAAATATTATGACCAATAACCAAAATTAAAACATATTACTAACAAAGGAGCATGCCGAGTTTTGAGACCGTACAGTTTTTCTATTAAATATTCTTACCTTCCCAGGATATTGATTGTCAAATCAGAAAGCCTTCTATCCGCCTTGTCCATCATCGGAAACTATTATAACTACATGTATGCGCAGAGCTTTCGATAAAAAGAAAAAGAATATAGAATTTTTGAACGGACCGCGGCAAAAAAATTCATAAACATGTATATAATACAAAACATTTACAATATTGTTAACGATTTATAACTGATATACAAGACAAAAGACTAAAATACTATTTTTTGCACGAGCAAAGAATATTTCAACGCCCCTGCCTTTCACTTCGGTTACAAATCCTAATTAGTACTGTAAATATAACAAACATCGCTGCATTCAACATTGCATATTGAATTTATCGTTATAAAGCTGGGAATGAACACTACATAAAATCTAGTAAGGGCATTCACGAATAAATAACCCCCCCCCCCCCCCCGCCCCCCACCTCCGAAAAAAAAAAAAAAAAACCAACCACCACAATTTGAGAGAATATACTTTTATCATTTGTTATCTATACTACTAAAGGAAGAGACCGAATTCATCGAGCCGCAACTCCTCTGAAACTATACAAAGTCGGACATATTTGCGATATGACGTATAAATGTAGTGTTTTGTACTTACTAAATTTGTCTTTGAAACAATCTTTTTTACACAGAAAACGCCAATTTTTGAGAAAATATCCAAATTCGGAGACCGTTATCGATCCGTGTCTTATACGCTTTCGCGCATGGTCAGTCGACGTACTGCCCGCAGAATTTAACTTTATTTATAAATAATATATGACAATGGTGTACAGTAAAAAATTAGACCATTCCAGGCACTTTTGTTTCCACATAATTAATATTACCAATAAATAACAAGTTCGGGGTTTAATCCGATACAGATTCCAATAGTATATGTCACAAAATTACTTGACCCCTGTTACCTAATCTGTACGTTCCGCCTCTATCAGGCGCACAACCAAACGGTGTATTAAGGATTTGCTATAAACACGGGTGATAATCGCACCTGAACTTCGTCATTATACAGGGAATAACTGTACACCTTATAATCAGCGTGACTTTACCAAATGACAATACGAGTTCTAAAAATCCAGGCTAAAAATAAGGCGTAGGTTTTTTAATTCAGTCACGGACCCGCGATGTCGCGGGTATGGTCTAGTAAATATAATAAAAAAAAAGATGTCGTTTTTCTTTCTATAGGAGATACGATTTTGAATCTACTACAAAGAAATTGAATAATTTGGATTGATTTTAGAATACATTAGAACATTGAAATTGATAGCATTTAAAAGACTTAATCAAACACAATCAACACTTCAATTTTGATTATCATAAATCAATTGTCTAAAATATTTTTATCTACTCGTAAATTTATTTCTATGAAGTTATTTTGATTGTTATTTGTAATCATTTGCACATTTTTACGTTACTGGCCAATTTGTGCTCTTTAAAGTTGTGTTCGCTTTTATTTTAATATGATTTTACTGGTTTGTTTTTCAGATTAAAATATTACTTGACCAACATTATGCATCAATGGTGGAATATGAAGGGGTTTGTTGAACACCATACTTTATTCTTGTATTACAGCGGAGGAAAGAATATATATTGTAAAAACGTCATGTCATAAAATTCTTCGACACAGCGCTTTTATTCGCTTCGATCCTCTTGCTATTTAATCCGTTAACTAAGCTACAGGCAAAGTCAAAATTGTCGCATCTGATTTCCATAAATTTTTCTGCACTATTATATCTATAAAACGAAGATTCTTCTTGATTTTTGTAAAAATTGGGAATAATATTGTTAAATAAAACCGCAGGAAAACAACTGTCATATTTCTAACTTGGCATATGTATTTTCCAAAGAAAATAGTGTGTTAAACATGCATTTCTATCTAGCTTAAACGCCCACTTGTATGACAGTTGTTTAATGTTCCCAAATAGTGCCAACACAAACAGACATAATTGGTTAAAGCTGCCATACCTGGGATCCAGCAGCCAAAACTGTGTAAACATACTTAGCTGACGTACAGCACTACTGAATCAAACATTCAAACATTCACAAATGTGTCATTTTGGTCTCTTGTGAAGAGTTGTCTCATTAGCAATCATACCACATCTTTTTTTTTATATTGACAATAAAATCAAACAAAGACGCAAACAAAACTGATAATGCATAATGACATATAAACGTCCCCGATATAATGGTATACCAAATAAATACAACACTATAAAAAACCTCATGTGTCCGAATCGCATCTCTGGTCCCATCCGCAGAAGGAACGACAAAAGCCAAAAACCTAAATGCTGGATGCACACATACCGAACCACGGCAAGAGTCATACGACTAAATGGAGCATAATAGTACAAAGACATATAAAGGTAAACCTGTCAAGTAGATCAAATGCTACACAGAGTCAGCACCTAGAATCTATAACTCAAGACCATCCTGTATTATTTGTGAAGCATACCCTGAATATTTATCTATAAGTTATTGGTACTTTCCAATGAATTTTTGGAGAAAAAGGTCAAAACTTTCTTTCGAGTATGAGTTGAGTAATGGAACTATTTTATTTAAATAGAGTATTAAAACATAATACGTTTTGGAATGCCGGTCAGTAGTTACTTGGGGACACTCGCATGTCTAGGTTTTTAACCAATCAGCAATGGGGTTTCCCCGTCACTGCCGCATGTGCTTCTCTAATGTACTAATTGTTTTTCGAGATCATACTAATTAACCAATGACATTCATAGCTAATTTTGAATTAACCAATCAGCGCTTCATTAGCAGGGCTTTTGTTTTATGCACACAGGCTCAACTGGCCCAAGACCACAATTAATGATCCCGCTTTTCGTTGTCCACGAATAAAGTTCCTTTTAATTAGAGTGTATTTTTTCTTAATTTTTTTTCTTTCCCTTCCTCACTCATATCTTAGTTTTTTTTAGGTGGAAATAAAAGAAGAGAGGTGAAATAAACTTTATGATGTTCTATTTCAACTAATTTTGATATGGAAAGAGTGATTAGGCCAGGTGCAAAAAGGGGATATTTACAGTTTTCGGAAAATCTCTTGACTTGTCCATAGGGGTATGGATGTGTATTGGCTAAATTTGTAAGAGTGATTGGTTCAATCTTTCTGAATTTTGGATATATTTTTGGACTAGTACTATACATTACACACACAAAAGATTTGACAAAAATGCATGGTGCAATTTTTTTAATGAAACAAAACGTTATAAAGAATTAATAGGGGAATTTAATTGTGGTCTGTGGCCTAAGAGGTGAATTCAGGAAATATTGAATTTGTACTTTGACAACTTCCTTGAATGATCTATTGGTATTAATTTGTCAAACTACATGAGAATAAATGGCCATTTTTTATAAGTCTGAAACATGAAGTATGCTATCTGTTGCTTTTAATAGGTGATAACTTATACATAGAGACATTAAAAAGTGTAGGTTTTGGTATATTTTGGTTTTTAGAAGCCCAAATTTGATAGTTGAAATTGTTTTAATTCAATGCCACAATTCAGCACCCAAAGTTCAGATATAAATAATGCCACATTTTTTATAATTGGTATCATATGGCTTTGAAACTTTGTAAACTGTTTTATAATACACTAAGCTTAAATCATGCCAAGTTTTATTAGAATTGGTCAAGTTTTAGACCCCTAAGAGGTGAATTCAGGAAATATTGAATTTTGACTCTGACAACTTCCCTGAATGATCTATTGGTATTAATTTGTCAAAATACATGAGAATAAATGATTTCCACTTTAATTGGATAGAAATTTTGTAAAAAAGTGACATTTCAGCCTACATGCCCAAAATTGAACTTTTTCAGTTGTTTCAATATTTTTACAAAAGTATCATGCTTACTTTCTCTCTGACAGATTTTTCTGGTTTTCTATTTGTGTTTGTGGTATCTAATGTAGATGTTTAACTCATTTTTGAACACTGAACACAAAAAAAAGTAGATAAAATCAGAATAAGAGTGCAAAATGTGCTGCTTTAATGGTCTTAGTCTAAGGGTCAGTATGAAGCAAGTGAAAAATGAGGTTCTATGCACATACAAGTTGAATTCCTTTTAGCAGATTTCACTGAATCTGTATCAAAAGCACTTATAACTGGTTGTTTGACCTTGTCTGTTTCACAGACTACCTTTATTTTCTTTTTGTTTGATAGCTAGTGGTTAAAATATTGGCCTTTTGAGGCTGAAATTTCATGCCGCTTTTAAAAAGTAAAGTAAATAACTTTGCATCAGATCATACTGTCTACATATACAGTTGAAAGTGACAGTCTTGTTATATCCAGGCTCCATGTTTTATCATATCTAAACAAAGATTTGAGCATAAAGAAGCATATCTTCATCTCCCTTATCATTTAAATGCTTTTTAATATGCAAATGTGGGGAACGACCTAAATTGACAACCTGTTTTTTTAAGCTTGACATTGCTGTAGACCATTTTATTCACATGTGTTATGCTATTTGAAACTTATATTTCCATTAAAAGTACATTTATAACATGTAAACGGTTTTTTATAACTTAACAACTTCAGAAAATTGTGGTAAGTGAAAAATATTACATTTCATATAAGGCCTCACTTCATTTGAAAACCTCTATTTTTTGGCACAGGCTCAAATAAAATTTACTTCTGGCCATTTTTTATAAGTCTGAAACATGAAGTATGCTATCTGTTGCTTTTAATAGGTGATAACTTATACATAGAGACATTAAAAAGTGTAAGTTTTGGTATATTTTGGTTTTTAGAAGCCCAAATTTGATAGTTGAAATTGTTCTAATTCAACGCCACAATTCAGCACCCAAAGTTCAGATATAAATAATGCCACATTTTTTATAATTGGTATCATATGGCTTTGAAACTTTGTAAACTGTTTTATAATACACTAAGCTTAAATCATGCCAAGTTTTATTAGAATTGGTCAAGTTTTAGACCCCTAAGAGGTGAATTCAGGAAATGTTGAATTTGTACTTTGACAACTTCCCTGAATGATCTATTGGTATTAATTTGTCAAACTACATGAGAATAAATGATTTCCACTTTTGTTTGATAGAAATTTTGTAAAAAAGTGACATTTCAGT